ATGTTTCACAAGGACATCAGAAGTTTAGCCATTACAATAATGATGTCTCATGAAATTTGAATTTGGGGCATCCGCAGGTCAACAGAGTTAAGAATTTCTGTAAACGTCACGATGAGTTTCTACCTTTCAAATTAAGAAAGTTTCCATTTGCTCTGCTCATCCTTCTTGCCTCTTTAGTCTTTTTGTCTTGATTTAGGAGTTGGCTTTGTATCAGGGAGAGGGATGCACTCAAGTTTCCAGACAGTTTGCAACACAGGATAAAACAAAACGTGCTTCACGTTACAGACGTCTGAGGACTTCTTGGGAGGGCAGACAAGTGTGCTGTACACCCACTACGACTTCCATTAGTACCACACCTTACATAAGAAATGAGAAGTACAATTGGGTCACCTCTGACTTGGTACCTATTTGGCTATTTGGCAAAAGAATCCAGACCTACTCTCCCACGGTGAAACAAAAACGTGTTTTCTAATTCAAATACCTGAGAATTTCTCAGATGGCCAACATTCTACATACAAATGGCTTCAAGTGCAGGTTTAATTGTTCAGGATTGGTGAACAGAAACATAAAAATGGAACTTTCATGGGGTGGAGGACAAACCGACAAGCTTTAACATGCCTGCATATTTATGGGTACACTCGTGGGGTGGGCATGTGTGGACATGCAAACATTCCTGCAAAATTCCCATGATTCTACCACTTTCTCTCCAACAAAGACGGAAAACAAGGACTGGCAAACTGCGTTGGAAAACACGGAAGACACAGGTGCATCTAATTTTCAGAAAACCCGTAACACTTTAGATGTAAGAGATTGAGAATTCAAAGTACACAACAACTGTCATGTCAAAAAATACATTGGGCAAAGTAATTCACTATAAATGTTGTAGATAGTTGAGTGGAAAGAATTTTTGGTTACTCAGTTATTTGGGGTGCTGGCCTTTGGACCCACTGCTAAATTCGTGATTCGTTATTCATAAAGAACTGAGTTTTGGTGATTGCCCCAGTGCTGGCACGTGGCGATGTGTCCCACGATTTGTTGAATGAATGTGCCCAATCCTGCCATGTGCCCGATAGTGCCTTTACAGACACTCCCTGGCCAGATGCTTTGAGCCACCTCACCACTAGCAGGGTGCACAGGCACAGAGGCAGAGGCAAGGCAGGGCGTGGCCCGCTGATGCTCTCGGCCCTAGTGGTTTGAGTCCCCTGAGTGCTACCGGACTCAGTTTCAGAATAGTGGGTTGAAAAGTGCAGCCTAGTAACCCAAACCTCTGAAAATATTAATAATAACATCAACAGTGAACAGCCCTACCTCAACTTGAGACTGTGAAATCCTAGCTGAAGAAAAATGGAATTTCGTTTTTCCTGGTCAGGTTTTCTTCATTCAGTTTTGATTTCCTTGGACAAAGTTGTGAGAAGTTTTAACAGTCATTCGAAAGGAAAAAATTGGAATACACCTTAACCAATGATCATGTACCTTGTTTAACAGAGCATAAGACTTAATCCAGAGGAGATGCAAAATAGATTTAAAAATGGGATTTCAGTTCTAAAAGATTTTCTGCTCCACTGGTGGAGACAACGCAAATGCGGGTAAAATACTGTGCTGGGAACGGCACTGTTTTCAGGTTTTAAAATGCTGAGGCTTTAGCTTCCTTACTCTGTACTGACTTTACCTTTAGACTTAGGCTGCAGGAGAAGCAGAACGTGCTCCCGCCCATCACCTTCACCTGTGTGGTGTTGTCCTGCTTTGCTTTCACTGGTGATGGCCACCAGGTTAGCACATGGTGTCTCTGGCCTGTGCGAGCTCACCTTGGCGAGAGACTGTGGCCAGGTAGTGGGTCCTTACATGGGCCCTGTTTTATGCAGCTTAAGGGAATTAAAAGGAATTCTCTTGTAAAGTCGCTGCCCAATAATTTAACAGGGTCAAGGAAGTGCAATAGAATGACCTTTGTTTGATGCTGACAGTGAACTTGGCCTCAGTACATTTATGCTCTAGTTTGGGTTCTGCCAACCCAAACTATATACAGTAGAATCTCTGTAAGTGGACCACTGAAGGGACTGTCACAAATTGATATGTACATGTGGTGCATGTCCGGTCTATGAAAATTGGATCAACTTAAGGAGGTGGTCAATGCAGGGAGGTGGTCAACTATGGAGGTTCTGCTGTATTAGCCACGTGACTGCAAGTTGCTTTGAGAGACTCAGTTTCCCCATCTGTGGGTGGAGAAGATTACAACATCTGCTTCAGTATCAGTCAGTGTCCCGGCAGGGAAATCGATGGCACACTCCACAACAGAGGGAGCTAAATGCAGGGTCTCCCCTAGAGATGTGGTTACCAGAACTGACAAGGGGTGGTACAGCTCCCAGGGACCAGCAAGAGCGGGGAACCTGTCCCCGCCCTGTGCCCAAGGGGCAGGCAGAGTGAGAGCTGCAGCCGTGGGGCTGGGGTTGCCGCACAGGAGCTGTGGAGGGGAGTGAAGGGGCTACGTCCCTTCCACATCAGGGCCTGGTCGGAACAGAGCCTGGGAGGCAAGTACTTGGTCCCAGGGAGACTGGAGCCTCCTGTGTCTCTTCCCAACTCCACGTTCAGCCATGTCAGCAGCTCAAAATCCACCCTGGTGGAAGTATTTATGCCACATAGAAACTGGCAAAGGCCACCACAAATCAGGCTTTTCTCTGGAGAGCCGGTGGTGAACCGATGACCCGCACACCCCAGCCTTGGGCTCTCTCTTTCTGCCCTTCTCATTCCCTTGATACTTCCCAAGGGCAGGGGATCAGAGGATACAGTCCTTATGGGTCAGATTCAGGTGCAGAGCAGGGTAGGGAAGGTGAAGAATGAAAGGGAAGGGGAAATATAGAAAGGAAATGACCAGCTCGTCTCTCAGGGTAGTCTCGAAAGTTATACGAAACAGTGAATGTGAAAGTACTCAGCAGCCACTGACGCGCTTTTCATATATGTCCTTTGTGATTTTTGCCAAGTACAGTAGAGTTTACAGGGTCCTGTGTGCCTACAATGCGGAGAAGGGGACATGCTTCCTCCTCTTCTGCCCCACTGGTCAGCTGGTGCTATAAGGAAGGAAGTCAGGCTTATTCTCAGGAGAAGTCCAGGAAATTCAAACTAAACTTAGGAGGACACCCCTGGGGGTGGCAGAACCTTTGGGTGTCCTTTGATATTAGTTCTCTGTCTCTGTCATGGTTATTAAACTTTCAGCTGGAGCAGGAGCCTGGACAGAGCCTATTACTTGAAGCCCCTTCCAGCAAGGTGTGCCATGTGCCAGAAGCCCGTGAGAGGGAGCTCTGTGTGGCAGCAGCCAGGGAGATTCTTCCCCAGAAGGATCTGCTGAGCCAATGAAAACACGACGTCAGGATGCAAGGGGCTGGGATTGGTTTGATATGATGCTCCGGGACACACCCGTTCCCTCTCCTTCCCTTCTCCCACCCTGCAGCCTGGAATGCAAATGCCACCTCTGGGGCCTCAGTGTGTGACAGGCAGGAGGGAACCTCATCTCTGAGGACCCTGGACAGCTGGATGAACTCCCCCTGGACTTCGTCTACACAGAGAGGACAAATGTCTACCATGGTTAAGCCTCTGTTACTGTACATTTCCCATCCCAGTCAAACTTGATCCTGATCGAGATACCAAGCTTAAGCAAGGCTGCAGGACAACAGCTCCTCCCTGGAGCTGCTGGGAGGATACATTTACGACACCACTTTGGAGAGGAGACAGCAGTGCCTAGGAAAGTTGAAAATATACTGGACAGGCTGTTTGCCAGCAGGGTAGTGGAAGCCTAGGGAGGGTGCGTTCCACACGGGACAGGGCTGCCTGTCTAGAGCTGGTAGTGGCTCCCTGGCACCCAAGGTGGCTATCCTCCCCTTTTCCTCCTCTCTCCCTATCATGTGACTGGGGGCATCACGGTTGCAATAGGACTGTTGAGCCTCTGGCATTGCATCCAGCAGCCTACCTCCCGGGCTGGCAGAAGGCAAGGTCCTGTGTCGCCGGCAGAGTGACTCTTGTTAGAACACTCAGGGAGAGACTGGGGGAGGTGGGGTGAGGGCACATCACCTCAGCCAGAGGCAGAGCTGGACACAGTCTCTTGTACACTTACTCTCACCTTCATATGGGACAACATTTAGAAAAAGGAGATAGACCAACAAGCAGAAAGCACAGTGCCAAGTAGCAGGGAGGCGGGACTGGCATGTCAGCCCCTCTGAGAAAGGCCAGATTTCAGGAGCAGCCTTTGTAGCCTTGGGGTGGCCAGGTGGCCATTGGAAAGGCTTGTGAGCTCTGGAGCTGTCCCATGACCTTGGTGTGACTTCCGGCGCCCCATCCGTTGCTGTGTGACCCTCGTTTCCAGGTTGTCACAGAGGAAAACTAAAACAAGCGAAGTATTTAGTATAGCACAGTGCCCGGTGAACAATAAGGGCTCAGGAATGTGCCTTGCATGTGGCCTCAGTGCTGCAGGTCACAGCGGCTGCCAGGGAAGGAGCTGGTAGGTGGCCTGGGTCCCAGGCACAGCCATGTTACTGATGTGGACAAAGTCACCCCCCAGGCTGGGACTCAGTCTACGTCTCTGACAAGGAAGGGTTTGGGACAGATGGTTTCCATGGGGACATCCAGCTCAAACATATGGGTTTGGGGACTTGGACGGTACAAAGAATTTGCCATTACCCCAAGATTATCTTGTCCTCACTCGCCTGACCTGATCACGCGGCTTCCTCAGCTGGGATGGGGTGGCTCTTCGCCTCACACCCTGGGGAGGCAGCTGCAAGGACCCATTGGCGGGGACCCTCAGAGAGCTCAGAGGACCCCTGCACCCATTGTGACGCGTGAGCACCCACTCCATGGCAACAATGGGCACCCCGGGCTGGGGAGGCTCTCCTGGGAGAGACTGAAAAGCAGAGATCAGTGCAGGGAGGAGGAGGAAGAGGGGCTTCCAGATGGGCAGGGCTGACGCCATGGACTAGTGAGGGGCCACCTCAGCCCCCTCTGGCTTCCTGGAGAGAATGGCCAAAGGGAGGCGCTTCAATCCACCTTTGGACAAGGATGGAAGATGGGTAAGGAGGACTGCGCCTCGAGACCCTTTCTCGTGCCACATGGCGGTGATGGGGGCATGGAACTGATTCACATCCCGCTTCTGCTACCTACCGCCGCGTGACCTTTGACAAATCACTTCATTTTACTTGACCTCAGTTCCTTCCTCTGTGAAATGGGAAGGATTTCCCAGCGTTGGTGGGAGGATTGAACGGAATAATGCACGTGACATGCTCAGCACACTGGACCCTCGTGTGCTGTCTGCGAGGCAGGAACTGCTGTCTTCTCTTCTTTTTCCTTTTTCTGTACCACCTGCCCCCTAACGTTCTCCATCCCTCCTACGATGTGCATACCGGGTCTCCCCTTGCTAGAATATAAGCTCCATGAGGGCTGCGATCCTGGCTCTTTTTATCCACTGATCTCTTCAATGCCTAGAATGCAATCTGGAGGTAGGAGGCACTCAACAAACATTTGTTGAAGGAATCCTTGTTATACTAGAAATCTCTAAACAAATTTCTGTTGGCTCACAATCTAATTCCCTTAGTGCCAGCAGACTGTGAAGGAAGATTCTAGAACGCATCATTTACTCATCTTGATCCTTTGAAAACTTGGCTTTCCAGCTCCAGGCTTTTCCCCAGGCTCCTCTCTCTTGATACTGCTTGCAAAACCCAGGGGAATTTATTGCTATTCTACCATCTCTAAGACACATTTGGGTCATAGCCAAGTGTGAGGTCTCAGCCTTGGTGGCTCAAGTGCTTCTCTGATTTTCTCTTTGCCGTGTATACTTCATGTACTGACCAGTCTTTTCCCCTTCTAATTTCTACACTTCATTCCCAAAAAGGTAAAGGGGGAATCCCAGCAATGGACTGTTGCTAACACCCTCCCTACACTTACAACGAGAGACAGAATCAGAGAAAAACCTGAGGTCAACTTATTTGAGGGCAGCAATAGGCAGAACACTGTTTTAAATTTTTTGTTTAAGGGTGGCACCTGTGGTTCAGTGGGTAAGGCGCTGGCCCCATATATGAGTGGTGGCAGGTTCAAACCCAGCCCTGGCCAAACTGCAACAACAACAACAACAATTTTTGTTTAAAACAAAAGAAAAGAATGGAAAAGATTTCAGCAAGTTTGGGTCTGAAGGCTTAAAAAATGGACTGATTTTCCCACTTTGACATAACCTTAGCTAAGTAGCTTAGTTTTTCTAAATTTCAGGTTCTTTGTCCATAGAATTCGAGCATAATGTCCCAAGGGGAGAGGGCTATTGTGGGGATCAATGACTCATGCATGAGTGCTCAGTAGAATGCATGCCCACATAGTAACTTCTTGATACTTGCTAACTATAACACGTGTTGTATATATATGTGTTTATATATGTATACACACACAAAAGTATGCCCTGTTTCATTCCACAAAAATTTAAAGTAATATACGGAAAATATATACAATGAAATGCTGAAGTATAAATGAAGCAAAAATTCATAACCAGTTTCAACATACTTTAGAATAAGAGGCTGAGACTAGGAAAATATATAACAGATAATATATGCCATAATGGCCCATGCTTCAGATATTTGGGCATTAAATTTGACTCTGAGTTCCCTGGCAGTCAAAGGGAAATGAGAAATAGTGTAAACTACATAATGCTAATTGCCCACCAAGAGAAAAAGAGTTTTCTCAGACTAACTAGCTTTCCCTCTACCACCCATCTATCAGGATTGTGTTTGACTGAATATTATAAAAGGCTGGCTACACTGCCTTAATCAAACAGGGTTTTATATTTCTCAAGAGACAATAAAATTCAGCAGCAGGCAATCTAGCACAGCTGCTCAAGATGGTCATCAGAAGCCCAGGTTCTTTTTAGCTTTCTGTTCTGCCATCCTTAATGTGGGAGCCTGTGCCTCTAAGCAATGAGCCCACAACCTAGGCAGGGAAATAAGGGGACAAAGGACAACAAGACAGAAAAATACCTGAGTCTGTCTTTTCATATTGAGGAAACAATGCTTTCCCAGGAGTCCTGCCTTGCAGATGTGGGCTTCCATCTCACTGGGTCACGAGGTCAATTTAGCTGCAAGGGAGTCTGGAGAGGTATTTTTTAAGCAGCCACATTCATTGCTGCTCCAAAGTCAGGTTCCACTGTAAGGGAGAAAGTGAGTCATTATCTCATAGGCAGACATTTCATTTCATCCTCCTATCAAGAGCACAAGAAAGCCGCCCAGTGCTGGGGTTTTAGGAGGAGAGGCACTGGCCCCCAGAGATTGACTCGAGCCCTTGACACAAGTCCTTTCTGCTGTCAGCATCTAAGAGCATAAAAGGAATAGTGCTGATCATGAAGTTTCCAAAGTAACTTGTAGATGAGTTGGGAAAATTAAAGAAATTGTTGGCTTTGAGTCAGCAGCAGCCCATTTGGGAGGACAGTAATTGCCACATTAGAGGTGATAGTCATTTTGCAGTTGACCTTGCTGGTTGTAATCTGGATGTTGCTGGATAGGAAAGACTTTTTCCACACACTTTCACCTTCCTATTTAATATTTCAGTCACTGAGTGATTGAATGCTGCAAAAATTTCACCGCCAACTAGTTAAAAAGCTATATTTCACGGTTACAATATCTAACAGAAGGGTTTATTTCACAGCTATCATGTTATAGCCATTAAATATATATTTTAAAAGAGTGAAATTAAAATGCTAGAGCCATTTTTTTTAACAGCGATTCAGTTCACAGACTGGCAGAATACAAATGAACCCAAGTCAGTTGTCATTTCACTGGTGAGAGCCGTCATTCTCCACATCAGAACAACCTCCCCACCCACGGCCTGATTCCAAAGCTTTCCAGAGAGATGTGTTGATTTAGTCAGCCCAGAGTAGGGGCGCTGGGAAAAGATATCAGCCCAAAGGCTCTTTGTATTATTTATATTTACCTTTAAGAAATAATTATTTGAGAACATTTAACAAATAGAATACAGAGTGAATTAGAAATACACAGATCGACTTGGAAACAATTTCTAAAGTATATTGTTAAGTGAGAAAGGCAAGGTGTGAAGCAATGTGTACAACATCATCTAGGGTTTTTTGTTGTTTTGTCTTTAGAGACAGAGTCTCACTTTGTCTCCCTCGGTAGAGTGCCACGGTGTTGTAGCTCACAGCAACCTCAGATTCTTGGGCTCAAGTGATCCTTTTGGCTTAGCCTCCTGAGTTGCTGGAACTAAAGGCACCTGCCACCACGCTCAGCTATTTTTAGAGATGGGGGTTAGCTGTTGCTCAAGCTGATCTCAAACTCGTAAACTCAAGCAATCCACCCACCTCAGCCTCCCAGAGTGCTGGGATTATAGAACATTACTGGATTTTTGTAAAGCAGTATCAGTGCTCTGACATGTATAGGCGTTTGTAGATGATCATATGAAAGCTCAGTTGTTAATACTGTGATCTGGGGTGGCGGGAGACTGACACGGGGGGAGGGAGAAAGCAACCAAAAGTTTCTGTTAAGTGACAGGGTATTTCGTAAATTTTAAGAATCGCTTTTGTAACATGCTGTCACACATGCAAAACTGTACACGTACCTGGATATCTGTTCTTACCCAGATACATGAACAAGATGGTCGCTGAACAGTTAAGGAAAGCGGGATAGGATTACAGGAGACTTTTACTTCCTTCTTTCATGCTCTTCCTTATTGTTTAAGCTTTTTTTTTTTTTTAAGCCAAGAGTATATATTACAACTCTAATCAGGGAGAAATACATTTATTTTTGTTGTGGGAAAAAAGACAATGCAATACACACATTTACTTAGGAGACATTTAATTGGTGCAAAATGCTGGCGTGTGGATAGAAAGACCCCCCCCACATTCTCTGATCCCCTTCCCAAAGGGGTGGCTGTGGCCAGTTCCCAGCAGGAGCTGGGGAGTGTTTGTGCACTTGAAGCCGTGTTGGTTCATGTGGGTGTTTTATGGCCTTTGACCCCCCCCCCCCATTCCTACTCTTCTTACCCCATATAGATCCATTCAAATGTGCATTATAGGAGTTCTTGTGTTCTTGGACATTACGTGTGGTTGTTGTGGGCATGGAAGACTTAAATGGTGCCGGTTATAGATGTCCTTCTGTTTCTTTCCTTCTGTTCTCCACGCGGCCACTGCTATGTGTCCTCTAGTCCGCGACTCCTCAGAGAATTCTCCACCATTCTGCAGAGAATGCACCACCATGTATCCAGCGTTGTAATGTAATCTTCTTACAGAAGCCGCAGCCTCCTAAACACGCTCAGTGTGGACGTTCATCAAAAGTCACCTGAGTGAATACACAGTTATGTTGTGACTGGAGAAGGACGGGAGAGACAGAGAATGGCAATGTTAGCCAATGTCATTAGATTCCAAAAGAAGGAAGAAGGACCAGCCTAAAGGTGATGGCAGCAATTTTAGGGACAAGGGAGGGGACAGCTGTGAGCAAAAATAGAACATGGTGATGGTGAGCACTACCTGGTGTCAGGTCCAAGTCCTGATGGTCTAGACCAAAGGCCTGCCTGCTGGTCCAGACCATCAGGTTAGGCCCCTCCCATGGACAAGAATTTGTTACAGCTCATAGTTCTTCTTTTTTAGTCAAATCTACCAGATTAGGTAGCTATTATCATTCCCATTTTACAGGTGGGGATACTGAGGCTCGGAAAAGTTCAGTGTCTTGCCTCAGGCTCACCTAGAAAGAGAAGGGACTGGTACAGGACTTGGGCCCTCGGAACCTGCAGCCTGCGTCCCCCCGCCCCCTACATTGTGCTGCTTTCTCCTTGGATGGGCATTTCCACCAAGAGTTGGGTCTCATCCTTTGCTTATTTTAATGTCCATTCATTTTCTTCTCCTAGAGATCCCTACTTGAAAAGTCACTCTCTTAAGGTGGCTTTAAAGAGATAACATTCAGGCTCGGCGCCCGTAGCACAGTGGTTATGATCCCAGCCATGTACACCAAGGCTGGCAGGTTCGAACCCAGCCCAGGCCAGCTAAACAATGACAACTGTAACAAAAAGTAGCCAGGCATTGTGGTGGGCACCTGTAGTCCCAGCTACTTGAGAGGCTGAGGCAAAAGAATCACTTAAGCCCAAGAGTTGGAGGTTGCTGTGAGCTATGATGCCAGGGCACTCTACCAAGGGGAACATAGTGACACTCTGTCTCAACAAAACAAAACAAAACAAAAATGACATTCACATAAATAGGTTGAGCTGCTGTGGCCATGAAGTGCCAGGCAAGTCCCCTCCAGGATGAAAGGACTCCTTGCTGTGGTCATGGACAGTTGGACCTCTCCGTTTATCCCAAAGGCCCCCTTGGCTGAAGAGAGCTGCCTTCCCAAGGCCACCCCCTCTTCCTGGCATCAGACTTTTAATAACTGATCAATTAGAGGCAGGTTTCCCTTGCCCCAACTCCCAGGGCCCATCCCCCATCCAGAGCTCCCTGAAGGTTCTGCTGAGGCCCTGGTCGGGACTGCCTCTTTCTGCTCAGGCTGCTTCTTCCCACCCTTTTGTAGGCAGATCGCAAGGGAACCCCCAAATATACTCCTTGTCCTCACTCTTTTGCTTCATGCCCTTCCACCCCTTCCCCCTCAACCATCCCATATTCCCAGTGGAGGGTCAGCTGGCCCCTTGCTCCTCCCCTTCCCCTGGCCTCAGGCCCACCTCACATCTCCACTGCTGGAAGTCGGCTCACCCCATACACTTGGGTTTGATCCCAGGCGCCAAGAACTGGGAGCTCCCTGACCAGAGGAGATCTCAGATAACACATGTCTGTCTTCTTGGACACATCTGCTCACTCTCTGAGGGCGACACCCCTTCCCAGGCTGCAGAACCACTGCCAGGCCTCAAGCACAGCGGGAGTGGCCTCTGTAACTTGAACCAACCAGCAGTGATGGCTCTGGGCCATTACAGTGTTTTTTGTCTTGGAAAGAAAACTTGAAAATTACAAAAATTATGCCATTTCCTTTGCATGCCAGAAGCACCCAAATTGCATCTTAATCACGTTGCAGAGGAAGTCCAGATACTTGGTTAACGGATTCAGATGTGTCTGGTTTTAATCAAGCTTTTTTTGCTATTTTTCCAGTTCCCTCACATCGGACTAACGCAGAGGACACCGGAATCCATCACAACTGCTATGTTAAAAGAGCCTCAGTGTCCACATATGTCTCGGCAAATGGAAGCAAAGCTACCACCAATATACAGAATCCGGGAGAAGGTGAGTCCAGAGCTCTGGCCACAGCTGCACGAAGCTGTGGATCCTTGAGGGTGAGGCACCGTTGGCAGTTTTGGCCAGACAATACTTCCTTGTAAGAGACGGCTTATTTTCCATCCCTGGACCCTTAGGGCTGGTAGTATCCTCAGTCCCATAGCCTGGTACTCTCGAGAAGGGCCTGCCTATTGGTCCAGACCATTAGGTTAGGCCCCTCCCATGGACAAGAATTTGTTACAGCTCATAGTTCATAAACATACGTGGTCTGCCTTCCCAGATGATTCATGAGCAACTTTGGGGGCACTGCAGTGGCAGGAAGGAGAAGCAGGTGTTGACTTTGCACCTACCAGACTCACCCTATGACCTCGCCCCAGGGCCCTGCTCTTCTGGGATCCCTATTGATCGGATGAAGAAGTGTCTACATGGCCTCAAAAGCCGTACCCAGGTTCTGGCTCTATCAGCCTACTCACCTGTCTGTCCTGGCCTCCACATAGAGTGTTTTGAAGGAGAATTTACATGATGTTTAGAATGCTGGCAATAAGGTGGAGTTTCCAAGCCCTGAGCTGAGGTGCCCGTGTTGGTCCTCGCGGTCCTGGGCTGTTTGCTCCATCTTTCTTGGCCTCACCGTCCTCCTTCCACACCGCCGTGTCCCGGTTCTGAAAGCATGCTACAGTTCTGACTCTGCCTTTTCATCTCTTCTCATGCTCTTTTCCAGCAAGCAGTAAATAACAACTTCCCCTTCTCTGTTCACGACAATCGGCACAGTTTGGGGAACACTGTTTACTACTTTGACTCCGTGAGTATTTCTTTTCAAATTACTAATAAAACAGGAAGTGTACCGAAACAAGACTGACCTTAAAACTAGAACAAGGTCAACACAAAGCAAGGTCTTAAACTAGCCTCATAACAGGCTACCAAAAAGATGCTCAAAGCTCTCAAAGTTCCATGCAGCTTTCAAAGTCCCCTCTAGCCTTCTGACGTGGTGTCTGCGCTTTATAATTCTCACAGTGCCTCCCCACAGATTGTATCTTTTGTGAGCCTTGCAAAGAATTTCTATGGGACAGAGGGACTGCTGTGTGTGTTTCTGGGTGGCATAGCCAGGACAGGTCAGAGAGAGGGGCATGCACATAATGTGAGGAAGGGTTTCTTAATACCAGGGTTGCCTTTTTTCTAGAAGCACTCAAGTTCCTCATCACCATGACACATAAAATCTGACAGCAGGGTGGCTGGCACAGCCCTGTGTGATGGAAATATAGTGCAAGCTGTATATGTAATTTAAATTTTTTTAGTAACCACATTAAGGAAAAAGAAACAGATGAAATGAACTTTAATAATATATTTTATTTAACTCAGTAATTCTCCAATTTATCAGTTCAACATGTAATCAATATAATTTCTTTTCTTTTTTGGGGGGGGGGACAGCATCTCACTTGGTTGTACCTGGGTAGAGTACCATGGCACCATAGCTCACAGCAACAAACTCTTGGACTCAAGCAATTCTCTTGTCTCTTAAGTAACTGGGACTATAAGTGCCTGGCACAACGCCCGCCTAGTTTTTTGCCTAGTTTTTTCTATTTTTAGTAGAGACAGGGTCTCACTCTTGGCCAAACGACTTCCTTGTAAGAGGCTGCTGAGGCTAGTTTTGAACTCCTGAGCTCAAGCAATCCACTTCCCTCTGCCTCCCAGAGTGCTAGGATTATAGGTATGAGCCACTGTGCCTGGCCTAATCTGTATACAAATTAACGAGATACTTCCATTCCTTTTCTCAAATTTAGTCTTTAAAATCCAGCTTGTATTTTACACTTATCTTACATATCAATTTGGATGACTCACATCTCAAGCGCTCAGCAGCTAGCAGCCACCAGGCTGGTCAGCACAAGGTTAACACATGCCAGGTGGAAGGGAGTGTCACTGACCTCTGAGGCCCCCTGCTCAACCTGAGCGCTCATGGTATGATGAAGTTTATGATGCCCCAAGTCAGTGTTTGCAACTATTTCACACTCTCTCACTCGACCCTCACAGCAATCCCTTGCGCTAATTACTCTTCTCTTCCTTTTGCCCAAATTTCCCCTTTCCCCTCGGCTACGATGACTCAACTAAACTGAAGTGGCTTAACCTAAAAAAATCTGGTTTGCTGCTGGCAGAGTGTTAAAAACAGAGTCAGAAGCCCTCATTGCCCAACTCTCTAAATGGAATGTTTAACATTGTTTTGCAAATAACCAAAGTAACATATGTCCTTTAAAAATTCAGATAATGTGGAGTTATTTAAAATTAAAACTACATTTCACACCTTTATTTTTCCTTCCTCACAATCTCACCTTGATAATTTGTTGCTAATAATGGTTTGATGGGTAAAATCTGAGAATTTTCACAATTCACACATGAAAATACATACATAAATGTACATCTTGTTAATGATATAAACAGGATTCTATCACATATATTTTCCCGGGGTTATGATACCCTCATAGAAAGCGCTGGAAGCTTTCCAACTTTATGTTCTGAAATAGTTTATATAACATTTATATTTTCAGTTTAATGAAAGATAAAGTTTGCCCATAAAATGACTTGAATTTGATATTTTCTTTAGAGTTAGTTTTTTATTACTTTTCCCATTTATCCTTTGATTATCAATCTATTCAAATATTCTACTTCTTTTTGGGTAGATTTTGCTGAGGCTTATTTTCTAAAATTCATTTCAAATTTACTGGTATAATAGCTCTTAAAATACTCTTATTTTGCTGTTCTTTTTAATTTTTTCAGTTGACTATGTGGTTCATATAGTTGCAATTATTTTTGTTAATACATTTATTAAAACTATGAATATTATTCAGATTATTGCTTTGGCTACACCCAAAGATTCTTCTAATTAAGATCTTATTATTACTATCTGCTTCTAACTAGTCTATGATTTAATTATTTTAATTTCTCTTTTTACTGAAAAAATTTTTAGAAGAAGATTTTCAATTTTCTATGTGGTTGGATTTTTTAAAAATAGCTATTTGTTGCTAATATCTAGTTTTATGTGTTACAGTAAACTGTAAAGAGTACAATCTGTAACTTCTACCTTTTGAATCATGGAATTATTTTTCTTGTCCTTATATGTGGGTCATTACAAAAGTTTTGAGATACACAAAGATGGAGAAATATAAAAGTTGTGTGGGCAAAAATAAATGAAACCCTCCCAGCAGCAGCCATAAGCCAAGCAAGTTGAAACCTGCATGGATGAATCAGAAAGGACGCTGTGCAGTGTTTCTCGGAAGTGAAATAATGGACCATAAACAGTCTGTCTCAAAACTTTCATAGTGATGTACATCTGTGATTAACTTTAACAAGTGTTCCATGGGTGTTTACAAAGAATATATATTTCCCCCTGTTGGTTACAAAATTCTTTGTATATATTAATTTAGGGCTGTTAATTGTGTTACTCAAATCTTTCACAACCTTTTCTTCCTTTTTATCTTGTGTCAATTTCAGCTTCTAAGATTATTCTTTAATTTCTAAAGATTTTTTGGCCTTACATAGTTCAATACCTTATCTTTCTGAATAATAATTCATGGTTGTTTTATTTGCTTGGTGGCTTTTGCCACTTATCAGTATGAAGTGTCCCTCTCCATATGCTTTAACACCTTAAGCCATGAGACTGTAGTGAGCTATGACCCTATCATTGCACCAGCCTGGGTGACAGTGAGACTTTGTCTCAAAAAAAAAAAAAAAAAAAATGACTTAAGAGCTATGGGGGAACAAGAATACAGTGAGGAGTAGACTAACAAGTTTGAGGTTGCTGTGAGTTGTGACACCATGGCACTCTACTGAGGGTGACAGAGTGAGACTCCTTTGTAAAAAAAAAAAAAAAAAAAGGGTGGTTCCTGTGGCTCAGTGAGTAGGGTGCTGCCCCATATTCCAAGGGTGGTGGGTTCGAATCTGGCCCCTGGCCAAACTGCAACAACAAAACGACAAAACAGCCGGGCATCGTGGCAGGCTCCTGTAGTCCCAGCTACTTTGGCTGAGGCAAGAGAATCACCTAAGGCCAAGAGCTGGAGGTTGCTGTGAGCTGTGATGTCATAGCACTCTACTGAGGGCAACATACTGAGACTCTGTCTCTAAAAAAAGAAAGAAAAGAAAAAGAAAATAAAGGAAAGAAAGAAAAGAAAAAGAAAGAAGAAAGAATTTTTTCAAAGAAGAAAAATATAGCATGAGGTCGGTCATGGTGGCTCATGCCTGTAATCCTAGCACTCTGGGAGGCTGAGGTGGGTAGATTGCCTGAGCTCACAGGTTCGAGACCAGCCTGAGCCAGAGTGAGACCCCCATCTCTAAAAATAGCCAAGCATTGTGGCAGGCACCTGTAGGCCCAGCTACATGGAAGGCTGAGGCAAGAGAATCACTTAAGTCTAAGAGTTGGAGGTTGCTGTGAGCTGTGACTCCACAGCACTCTATTGAGGGTGACAAAGTAGGACTCTGCCTCAGAAAAAAAAAAAAACAAAAAGAAAAAGGAAAAAAATACAGCATGATTTTAAAAAATCTAGGAGTCTTTTTCTTTATATGAGAATTTAACCCATTTACATTATTATGACAATTTATATTTTGCTTTCATTTCTGCTGTCTTGTTTTTATGTTTCTTATTTATTATGTTTATGTTTCGCTTCTTTTCTTTTTTTGACTCTTATGACAATGAAATGTGTTTTCTTTTTTTTTTCTCCCTCTCCTAACTTTGCTAGATTGGTTGAATTTACTTCTTCACTCCGATTTTTATTAATGTTCTACCCTCAAGTGTAGATGTTTAAAAAAATATTAATACTATATTATTATAAATATATTATATGTAATTATAATATTAATATGAAGATTAATATCTTTAGCTTTTCCCCAAGAATAAGGCAGGCCATGCAGAGTGTTTTACCCACTTTCTGTCCCAGGGGCTACTGGATTAGTGGCTCAGGTCACATTCCCCCAACTTGTGGATGTGCCATTCCAGGACCTCAACCTGGAGCTCAAAACAGTGGCCCTGATTTCTCAGTTAGGTCTTCCTTTGTAGTGTTTGAGATTTTAAAATGAAGATGTCAACATATATTCAGGATATAATTTTTAAAACTCTCCCAAAAGTTAAGTGTGGCAATCTCAAAAGTTTATTTAAACATGTAATTACAAAACTTTATCTTAGAAGAATTTGAATGTCTTTCAATCTTATTAAAATCATGAAAGTATTTCAAAAATTAAATGGTAGTGGGCTGCACCTGTGGCTCAGAGGAGTAAGATGCCAGCCCCATATACCAGAGGTGGCAGGTTCAAACCCAGCCCTGGCCAAAAATTGCAAAAAAAAAAAAAATTAAATGGTAGTGATAGATCAAGAGACTTTTAAGGTGTCTAATGATACATCAGTGTTAGAAACCTCATCAAAAATCTTTTGGGAGGAGTTAGGGCACTGTGAAGACGCAGGCTTTTTGTCGATAGTGACCTTACTTTTGGCTTCCTTTCCAAAAACTCTGCATAGTTTTTCTCTCAGGAATAAATTTAACACAAATTGGAATTTTAGGTCCACTTTGTTTCCTTTCATCTTTTCTTTTCTCTCCCTCCTTTCCTTCATTCCTTGCTTGCTTCCCTCGTTTTTTGCGAATTCTTACTTAAAATTCCAATTAATTTCATAGTCACATTAACGGTAAGTATTGGTTGTAAAAGTTTAGCTTGCTACGTGCCTCCCAGCTCTCTCCCCTGGTTTCTTCGTATCCTCAAGTAAGGTTTAGAAGGGCCCGTGGACACTGTGCGGCATCCCCGTGTGTCCTCCGGCCACGCTCCCCCTTTCCTCCCACTCCGGCAGCGGGGTCTCAGCTATGTGGGCTTCATTCCTGCTCAGACCGTGGGACCTGGAGCCACTGCACAGGGCTTCCCTACATGTACCCACGTGTATAGGTAGATCCTTATAAACTCCCTCAAATTACTACTATTTTGAGAGTGCCCTTGTTCTCCTGTTTTGCAAGCTCCACACTGACCCTTCCTAACAGATGAACTTCCCTTACTGACATAAAGTCTAGATAATCTAATGTCTGTATACCATTTTCTGTCCAGTTTTCAAATAGTTGTAATGAAATTGAAATTTTGAATGCACAGTAATTCTCGGGTTCATACGTAAGGTGCTGAGAGTTACGGAGGAAGGCTGTGGGTAGAGACTCAACGGTGCTGCTTCTTTTAGGGAGTTCTTGTGGCTGGAAGGGAATCCAGGCTCATAGACTTATCAGAGCAAGAGCCATCTGCTCGCTGGGGGCTTGGAGGCAGGTCGGGAGCTGGGGGAATTCGGGGACCCACTTGAGGCCCCTGGGCTGGTTAATAGGCTGCTCCTGGCTGGACTCTTTCTACTTCTGCCTTCTGTGTCTCTGAAAGTCCTGTTCTCCTGGTGGCACCAGCAGGCTGTGAGCACAATAACAGAATGTCCCCAGGATATTATGAGTGTTGACGTACAGCCTTTAACAGGTTGATGAAGGGGATATTGTAATGGTTGTCGTCATGTGGTGCATTTAAACATATGTATGTCATATACCTGGTGTGAATAAAGACCTCAGCACTATGTGGCCTTGGATATCTTCCTCCTAATCTTCTCGTAATTCTTCCCAGGGCCTGGGACGTAAGAAGATCTCCCCCGATAGAAGGCAACACCTTTCAAGAAATTTCAATCTTTGGGCATGTGACTATGTTCCATCTTGTGTTGATGGTTTCTCAAATAACCAAATATCGTATGTGTATAAGGAAGCTGTGGTGGTCCCAAGTTTCAGGCGCTTTCCAAGACATTATAATGAGATATGGAGATCTTTCAAATTTATCCCTGAGCAAAGATGCTATACAGAGTTTCTGCAGAAGAAGCCAAAAGTAAGGTTTACTATTGACGGAAACACTGTTTCTTCACTGGACCCTTAATCTGCCCAGAAGGTTCTCGATGAGTTTTGTGATATTGATATTTCATCAGATATCTTAAACATATACGTTTTCTGATCCAGCACTACCATTTAATTTTTGAAATGCTTTTATGATTTTTAATAAGATTGAAAAACATTCAAATCTTTCTAAGATAAGTATAAATAAACTTTTGAGATTGCCACATTTACTTTGGGGGAGTTTTAAAAATTACACCCTTCATATATGGCTACATTTTCATTTTAAAATCCCAGACAACATGAAGGAAGCCAATGACCCCCTTGATTTCACCACATCTCCAACCCCTGCCTGTCCGTAGCTGTAAGTTAATCACTTGTTTTTAATCTGCAGTTACAATCATACACATGTGCATAAATACAGAAAAATTTGAACATAAACTATGTTGCAGAATAAATGACATTCTATAAGTATTTTTTGATATTTCCGGAGTTCTGTGGTGTCAGTATGAATAGAATGATTTTTCAAAAACTGATGCCCTGGCTTGGCTCCTGTAGCTCAATGATTAGGGCACCAGCCACATACACCAGGACTGGCGAGTTCAAACCTGGCCCAGGCCTGCTAAACAACAGTGACACCTACAGCAAAGAAATATCTGGGCGTTGTAGTGGGCACCTATAGTCCCAGCTACTTGGGAGGCTGAGGCAAGAGAATTGCTTAAGCCTAAGAGTTTGAGGTTGCTGTGAGCTGTGACGCTACAGCACTCTACTGAAGGTGACATAGTGAGAGTCTCAAAAAAAAAAAAAAGAAAAGAAAAGAAAAGAAAAAAGAAAAACTGCTGCTCTCTATTGCCAAATATAGGTGCACTATGTTTTTAAAATGTATCTTCTTACTAATGGGCATTTGAATCATTTCTAATTTTTGGCTGCCAGACACAATGCTGCAGGAATCGGCCTCTTTGGACACAAATTTATCTGCCGCTCTGGAGCAGACGTTGAAAGTGACCTTGCCCCTGCTAAGTTAGACAATGTGCAGTTAAGGTTTTGATAATTGCTGCCAATTGCCTTTACAATCACTGGTGATTCTCCTGCCAACAGTGTCTGCTAGTTGCTCTTTCTCTCTCCTCACATTATCACTCTGGTATTTTGGGGGAAACATCTTGTTACTTTCTTACTTTGCATTTCTCTAGCTAGTACTGAAGTTGAGTGTCTTTTCCTCTGCAGTGGTCATTTATACTTCCCTTATAATATAATATCAACTACGCAGAGTCGCCATCATTCTACAACAAAATTTCTTGTTTAGTCTTAGATATTTTTCCCCATACATAAATTTTAGAATAATCTTGTAAATCAAGAAACACGCACATTGCCAATTGGATAGGAAGTTCCCTGATTTTATTAATTTACAGGAGAACTGACATCTTTATGCTGTAGCGTACCTCCCCCTTTGTTTAAAGCCTATTTCATGCTCTTTAGTAAAATTTACAATTTTCCTCACATAGGTCTGACATATTTCTTTTCTTTTCTTTTTTTTTTTTTTGAGGCAAAGCCTCAAGCTGTCCCCCTGGGTAGAGTGCTGTGGCATTACAGCTCACAGCAACCTCCAACTCCTGGGCTCAAGTGAGTCTCCTGCCTCAGCCTCCCAAGTAGCTGGGACCACAGGTGCCCGCCACAATGCCCGGCTATTTTTTTTTTGCAGCCATCATTGTTGTTTGGCGGGTCCGGGCTGGATTCGAACCTGCCACCTTAGGTGTGTGTGGCTGGCACCTTAGTCGGTTGAGCTACAGGTGCTGAGCTGCCATATGTCATTTCTATGTTTATTCCTGCTAGTTTGAAATTTTGTGCCTATTTTGAATGATTTTTAAAAGTTTTACTTAATTTAGATTGGTTTTGGCTGAGGTGTGAAAAACCTATTGATTTCTTTATATGAATCGTCTATTTGGTCACCTGGCTAACCTTCTCACAAATAAATAAATAAATGTTGTGTAAGAAATAAAAAGCAAGTTGTAATCATTTTTCAGTTGATTCTCTTCTGGATTATTTTTGTGGACAGTTACATCATTTGCAAGAGTGATAATTTTGTAAGATTTTGAACCTTTGTACTTTGTCCCCTTTCTGTCTTACTGCACTGGACCGAGCGGCAGGTACAATTTGAATATTATTACAGATTAGTTATATCCTTATTTCTGAATTTAATGGTGCTGGCTTCTAATGTTTCACCAAGAAATCTGACTTTTGTTACAGGGTTCAGATCAGATAAGGTTTATCTACAGACATTATTTTATGTTCTTAGTTTCCTAAGTTGTTTGTATTTCTTAAATTCTATGTATGTGGGGAAAATGTCAAAGAAAATAAAAATAAAACATGAAAAAAGAATTTTCTTTGGATCTCTTTTTTTCCTAATTTTTTCTTCCTAGGGCCGGCTCTGTTGCCTTTTTTGGTGTGTATTTTTCTTTCACAGGTAGTCTATGTGCAGATTCTCTCTCTCTCTCACAGACACACCCCGTCCCACTGTTACTTTCTACCATTCTCCCACCAACTACACTTACAAATACGTCTTTGAAATCATTCCACTATCAGTTCTTAGGAAGTCACTCTTTTATTAAAAAAAGTGGTCACCAACTATTTCACTACATGGATGCCAATTAGGCAGTTTGCAGTCTTTTCCTAGTAGGAAGAGTCTGGAATAAACATCTTTATGACATTTACTTTATAAATATTTACTTTCATCTATGGCCATTTATACTAAAAAACAGTAAACTCCAATTAAAGAGCACGTGGTTTTAAAATTTTAGTTTTGGGCGGCACCTGTAGCTCAAAGGAGTAGAGTGCTGGCCCCATATACCAGAGGTGGTGGGTTCAGACCCAGCCCTAGTCAAAAACTGCCAAAAAAAAAAAAAAAATTAGTTTTTATTGTCAAATTTTCTAAAAGAAGTCACGCTCCAGCTTGTGTTTTGCTAACAAGACACGGGATACAAGGGCACCTATCTTCCTGTGCCCCCACATGGTCAAGCTTTATGACGCTTGCCAACTTGTTAGCCTAAAAAACGGTGTTGCATTTTAATTCACATCTCTTTCCAAGTGTGTGTGTGTATATGTGTGTAGCTATTGAAAAGGCATTTGTATTTCTTTTTTTTTTGCAGTTTTTGGCCAGGGCTGGGTTTGAACCCACCACCTCCAGCATATGGGGCCAGCGCCCTACTCCTTTAAGCCACAGGCGCCACCCTCATTTGTATTTCTTATGCTGTGAACTTTTATCTGTATCTTTCACTAACTTTTCCATTGGTTTGCCTTATTCTTTAAATCATCTGTATGACTTCTTTATATCCTAAGGTATTAAGCCTTTTGTATCAAATATGTTCTAAGTGTTTCATTGTTTGTTCTTCTTTGTTTTACACACACACACACACACACTTTGTTTCTTAGAGAAGATTTACCTTTACAAAAAAATTGACTGGAGAGTTCCTACATGCCCAATGTACCCCACACCTCCCCTCGGAGTTTCCTCTGTTAGTAACGTCTTACACTGGAGTGGTAGCCACCATATTTTTAGCCCTGCATATTTTTTAATGCTGTAAAACGAATGAATCTTTTTTTTTTTTTATTAAATCATAGCTGTGTACATTAATGCAGTCATGGGGTACAATGTGCTGGTTTTATGGACAATTTGAAATATTTTCATCAAACTGGTTAACATAGCCTTCATGGTTATTAGTTATTAGTTATTGCGTTAAAATATTTATATTCTACATTTAGTAAATTTCACATGTATACTTGTAAGATGCACCGTAGGTGTGGTCCCACCAATTAACCCTCCCTCCACCCATCCTCCCCCCTCCCCTACCCTCCCTCTCTCCTCTCCCCATATTCTTGGGCTATAATTGGGTTAAAGCTTTCATACGAAAGGTATAAATTGGTTTCATAGTAGGGCTGAGTACATTGGATACTTTTTCTTCCATTCTTGAGATACTTTGCTAAGAAGACTATGTTCCAGCTCCATCCATGTAAATATGAAAGAGGTAATGTCTCCATCTTTCTTTAAGGCTGCATAATATTCCATGGTGTACATATACCAGAATTTATTGATCCATTCATGGGTTGATGGACAGTTGGGCTTCTTCCATGACTTAGCAATTATGAATTGGGCTGCAATAAACATTCTGGTACAAACATCTTTGTTATAGTGTGATTTTTTGTCTTCTGGATATATACCTAGAAGAGGAACTGTAGGATTGAATGGCAGGTCTATTTTTAGATCCGTAAGTATTCTTCAAATGTCTTTTCAAAAGGAATGTGTTAGTTTGCATTCCCACCAGCAGTGTAGAAGTGTTCCCTTTTCTCCACATCCACACCAGCATCTCTGGTTTGGGGATTTTGTGATGTGGGCTAATCTTATGAACGAATCTTTTATTTAATGGCTTCAAGATTTCATGCCTTCCTTAAGACTTCCTTTGTTTGAGATTATTAAATACTATAACTCTAGGAGTTTGTGTTATAGTCCTTACTATTGATACATGAAGTGACATTATGGGAAATGTTTTGGCATTTATTGAGATAATCATATATTTTTTTATTAATAGGGTAATAAAAATAATTAATATTTTTATTAATATGGTAATAAAACATACTAGTGGCAATCTTCAGCCATTCTAGCATCTCTTGGCACAAACTCTAGATGGTTACAATGTATTATTCTTTTGATCCATTCAGGATTGGATATGCAAACATTTTATTTGCTGTCTTTTTGCTTTCAAACTTTTGCAATTATTTTAGATTTGAGTTAAAAGCAGATTTCTCTCCCTTTCTAATCTCTGACACTTATGTAAACTGTAAATATCTATAGAATTGGCCATGAAAGCTCCTGGTGGAGCTGGTGCAGCTTAGGTGCAGATCTTAAGATGTCTTTTTAATTTATTTTTATGGAGATTGGTCTATACGTCTCTTCTAATTCTTTTTTCTCCCTTTTTCTAATTTTTTTCATTTTCTATTTTAGAGATAATCATTTGTTTTTATAGATTTTTAAAAATCTGGTGTTTTATTCTCTGT